GAGGCTGGAGGCCGCAGAGGTCCCCTGGCAGCCTCCGCTCTGCCAGATCTTTCCATCGAGCGCACCCAGAGAACCTGGCTCCGTGCCCCTGAGGTGAGCAGCTGCAGAGGCCGGAGGGGTCCCAGGGATCACGAGGAGTCCACCCTCCCTGAGGGACCCACCCTCCCCGAGCTCTGACTGTGAGGCAGCACGGAGGAGGATCCAGGAACCACACTGGACCTTTGCCCTCAGAGGAATTTTCCATGGAGAAGAGGAGCCGTCCTTCAGAAGGGACCACAAGCCGTGCCCTTTGCACACACTTCCTGTTTAATCCGCGGCACAAAGGCAATCCAACCTCTGCTTTACAGAGGAGGCAGTGAGGGTGCAGAGAGGCCAAGTGACTTGCCCAAGGACGCACAGCCTGCCCATGGTGGAGCTGGAACTTCAGAAGGGACCATTCCAAGCACCCCCTGTGTGTCAGGCACCGGGTGGGACATCTCGGATGTTTATGATTTTTACAACCTTGTGAACAGAAAGGTTTCACCCTCAGTTCACAGAGAGGAAGCTGAGCTTTCGTGATGCTAAAGTCTATTCCCCAGCTCCCGCAGCCTAGAGGTGCAGAGCCAGGGTTAAGGTGAGGGAGAGGGGGATTTGAACCCGGGTCTGAGGCAGAAGCCAACGGATTTTTTCACCACACGCTGCAGCAGGTGAACATGCCAGAGAGGTTGAAAGGGGGCACTGAGTCTACACTGAGGCTGGCCTCTGGCCTCCAGGGTCCATAGTGGACATCTGAGCCACACTATGGACACCTTTTGCACACTCTCCCAAGGGCCCGGCCAACCTGGAGTGTTGGCCCAGAAGCGGGAGAAGGTTCATGACTGACAGCGGCTTACCTAACCCAAGGGCATGGACGGAGGTGAGAGATCTTACCTGGATGAAGAGGCAGGAGAGTGGCTGTGTGGCCGGGTTAGTGTGCAGAAGGGTGGCTGAACAGGAGGGAAACCCTGAGAATGAGTATCCTTGCAACTTAATTGGACTGCGCTTATTTTCCCAGAGGGACCAGGAAAACAGTCAGAATGGGCTAAGTAATGCTGCTCCGATGAACATCCCCAAATAGCTGAGGCTGGCTACTGTGCAACACGGTATCAGCTAGTCTTGGCGGAGTATAAACCCCCTAGAGGTGGCTCTAAAGAATAACCATTAAATAGTTCTCAGGGCTCTGTGGGCTGGGTGAGTGATCTGTACCCGTTCAGAAGGGGCTACCGTCTGGAATCTCAGGTGGGACAGCTGGCAGGGAGGGGCTTCGCTCTGGGGCCTCTCTTCCTCCAGGAGGCCAGTGGAGGCTGTCCAAGTGGCAGCAGAAGAGTTGCCGGTGGCAAAGGAAGGCCAGCCCCCACCTGCCTCTGCCCTGTCACATCTTCTAATATCCTCTTGGGCAAACAAGTGACATGGCTGGGAAAGATCAGGAAGCGTGGGAATGGGTCCCATCTCTAGTAGCGAAGCCACCTGGCCAAGGGGCGCACAGAGGGCGGGGGGAGTTGTCGCAGCCCTCCTTCCGCCCGCCACGGGAATCTCCGTCTCGGCCAGCGGGAGGGTCTGCCCAGGCCCTCCCCACTCGGATGCCAGCTGTGGTGCCGTCTTGCCGCTGCTTGATTGCCGAAGAAGCACAGTTTTGTAGACGACACGGGCTCTTCAAAGCCCCCATCACGGAGGGACATACCCATTTTGCTGTCCTGGCCTTGGGCAAAGCAGACCACAGGGTCGTGTCCGATTTCAAGGGGGTGAGAAGTGGGATCCTACCATGTGCTGGGAAGGAGCAATAATGGCTGCCGGGCATCACTTATGGAGCACCTACTATGTGCTGGATAATTGGAAGTGTTACCTCAGGGCACTCTGGTGGATCTGTATGAAACAGAGGCCGTCATCTCCGTGGGGCAGTCCATGACGACCAGGGTCCAAGGAAGCCCCAAGGCTACCCACCTGACAAGATGCAGATCCAGAACCGGAACCCGGCAGGTGTCACGCATGACAGAGTGTCCCCTACCTCTTCAGAGGGAGGACAGAGGGGACTTCCACAAGGGACTCCGGCTTCCTGAAAGTAGGTGGGTGCCATAAAGATGTGACCCCGATATTATTCATTCACTCGACCCTAGTTTTTTGGACGCCACCTTGATGCCCTCGTGGGGCTTCTGTTGAGAACATCCACCTCCCACGGCAAAGGTCAAGGCTTCCCTCCGCCTCCAGTTTGGGGAAGGGGGGCGTTTCCAAGGTCGAGGAAGGTCACAAGGTCCCAACTCTCACGGGGGTCTCCGAAGAGCAGATGGCTCCGGGCCACTGCGCCAGCACGAGCTTCACAGGAGCCGCCAGCCTCCTGGGCACCTGCTGGGGGCGTCCTTCACCGCAGGGCAGCGGCTCCCGGTGGCCCCTCCCACACTGTGGGCGGAGCCTCCTGAGGGGCCTCCTGCTCCCCAGAACCGCGGGCTCAGCTGCAGGCGGAGGGTCCAGGGGGCGCCCAGCGCGGGTCAGCTCCGGGGAGGCAGGACTGAGAGTCCCAGCCATGTCCCCCTTTCTGGGCACTGGCCCCGACTGCAGGTCAGAGCCCAGAGTCAGAACTGTCACCCAGAGCCCCCGGGCCCTCTCCAGGGACAGGAACTCCCCACCCCTGTCATGGGCCTGTTCCCAAGCCCTGTCTGATGACTTGGCTACTCCGAAGGCCACACACCCCCTGTGCCACCGGCCGCGTGGAGTTGGCACGTGCCAGGAGGCCGAGTCCGGGGTGCGGTGACACCCTGGTGGCGGGGGACTGCGCCGTGGGGAGGCGATGTCGCTCAGCCCGCGCAGCCCCAGCAGATGGGTCTGGCCGCGCCTGTCGCTCAGAGGTGCCCCAGCCTCCGCTCGCTCGGCTCCCAGCAAGTACGACTATTTATAAAAGGCGAGGTTTGCCAGGGAACAGGGGGAGGCTGGGCGCTGCTGGCTGCGGGGATGGCCGGTCCCCACCGTGGGCTCTGCCTCAGCTCCCCAGCCCGAGGACCCCCAGGCCGGGGCCCCACCAGAACCACCACCTTCCCTGCCCCTACCTCCGAGTGGACCATTCTAGGGTGGGGCTGGGAGGAGTGATGCTCACCTCAGGGGCAGCGACCTGGTCCACCTTGGCCAATGCAGCTTCTGGGGAGGGGAGGGCCGCACTTCTCCATGGGTGAAGCTGTCCTTGTCCCTTTGAACCCTGCTGTCATCTGGGGCTCTCTCTCTTGGAGACGGGACCATGAACCCTCCAGCCAGAGCAGGGTCTGGTGGTGGACCGCCCAGCAGGGCACACCCCAGTGGGGTTGGCTTTGGGACGTTCTGGTGCGGGGACCTGGATTCAAATTCTGATCTTCTCTCCACCTCACTTTTCTTGCTCATCATGTGACCGTGGAAGGAGCATCCGGTTCTCGGGGCTGTGATAATGTCCTGATCACCTGATGGTGTTCTCACGGCTGAATGAGTGATGGATTCTGGGCTCCCAATAGGACCAGGCTCTGGCAGGACCGCGGGGCGCGACCTCAGACAGTGGGGTCCCACCCTCTCAGCCTCGCCTCCTGGGTGTTGTGAGGACAGTGGCCTCCGTCCTGCCTCTCAGCGGCCTGGACGGGGCGCGTGGGGCAGGAGCAAGCCGTGGAGCGCTGCAGTGTCTGTTCCAGGGACGTCCGCTGGGCTGTGGGCAGGGAGGGGACCCTGGGGGAAGGGTGGGGGGCAGGGAGCCACAGGAGCAGACCTCGAGACGGCGCCATGCCCGGGGAGCTGGGTTCTGTTCCAACTTACGGGTGGCTTGGGGGCACAGCGGGTCCCTGAGGGGAGTGTCTTCTTATTGGCAAAAAGAGAAGGACATTTCCCCAGGACACTGGGTCTCCTGACTGCCCGGGGGCCTGGGGGGGATGGGGGAGCTGCTTCCCCAGGTACCAGGCTGTGAGCCCCTGGGACCCCCGCCCGGGTGTGGGGTGCTGTTCCTGCTCCAGCAGACCACCCATTAGGAGGCCGTCAACCTCCATCTGACAGACGGGAAACTGAGGCACGGAACGTTTTCTAAAGCTGCACCGGGGACAGTGGCAGAGCCGGGAATGGAACCCATCGCCCGGGAACGAGGGGTGGCTTCTGAGGTCCCACCGTGCTTCTCTCACGGGGTTCCCAGGAAAGGCCTTCGGGGGGCACTTTCTGGGGAGGACAGAGGGCTGGACTGATGGGCAGCTCCCCGGGCTGAGGCCACCAAAGTGCCCCTGTGTGGAGGGGGAGGGGCTGGGCGTGTGGGATCTGGGGCTGGACCGTGTCTCTCCAAGGCGCGTCCGAGTCCAGGCCCCCAGGACCTGCCACGTGGCCTCATTTGGGAACAGGGTCTGGAGGAACCGGTTAAGAACCCCAAGAGGAGTTTGTGCCGGCTTGAGGGAGGGCCCCAGATCCCGGGTCGTTATGAGACGGGAGGGGATTTGAGACCCGCAGACCCCAGGGAAGCCACGAGAAGCCAGAGGCCGAGGCCGGGACGGTGCAGCCACCAGCCAGGGAGCCACCCGGCCCCCAGGACTGGAGGGTCCAGGAGGGACCTGCCCCTGAGCCTCAAGAGCCACGTGCGCTGCCCACGCCTCGATTCTGGACCTGGCCCCGGAACTGGGGACCACACCTGTCTAGTGACCTGGGGCTCTTGGCTCGTGGGACTGTTGGGACAGCCCCAGAAGCTCC